TAACTTCAATAATTCTTTGTAAGCATTCCAAACCTTCTGAACCCAATGTGTCAATCTAAAAAAAAAAAACCTAAAGTTCAAACACTTAAATTTTCTTTGAGTTCATTGTCTTTTAAGATGGTTTTAGAGTAAGTGAGAGTTTAACGCTGCATCACACCCCAGCTGCAATAAAAATGGTTCATACTTACAAACACACCATAGTTTCAGCATTGTGATTACCACCACAAATGTCCATTTTCCTGCCGCTCTAAGTCACCTACTAATCTCTTATGATATAATAATGGTTTTAAGCTGAAAAAGTCAGAATGTTGTCACTAAAAAGTGAAGCTAAAGATCAAAACAGTAACGTCAAAATTAAAACGAGGCCAAAAAGCTCAACAGAACAAGAAGAAATTCAAATTTTAGTAACTAATCTTTGGAGGAAAAAAAACTTAATTGTGTTTAACCTCTTATGCCCCGAGGGGTTTTCTTAAAGTTTTTGCTTAAAATACCATGCTGAAATGTAAGTGAGTGTATCTCAGCGTTTACAAACTCTACTTAAACAATCTTAGTACCAAAATAAAGCTAATACTTGGGAGAGTTCATTAGAAGTGTAAAAGTTAAAAGAGCTGCTGTGGTTTTACAGATATTGAGGATGGAACATAATTTTTCTCTTTTTTTCACTCTCACCTGATTTTTTTTTTCATTAGACAGTATAAAACCTATTTAAAACCATTAAGAATCAGGCTAAAATCTCTTGGAAACCATAAATCCACTTGTGAACATTACCTGTATAAAGATTCATGTTGCTAAAATGRACTGGAGCAAAGTTACAGAGGTTTKAGCAAATAAATAACTTTGCATTTTGTCATTCTGCACAGCACAAKTTGACAGCGRCATGTAGCCGAAACGTGTCCTGTTTTCTACCCTTATTAAAAACATAGTATTTTTTGGAGTGCTGGTTATCCCGTTTTTATCATTCTGCACAGTACAGACCATGATGATGCCATTAATAAATGTTAAGAAATCTGAAGTTTTGACATCCAAAAAGGTATTTATTTTTTCTTACCTGCCTTAAAAGACATTATTTAATGTTTGTTAATTTCAAAAATTATCCAAACATTTATTGTCACCATATATATTACATAAAATAATGAGAAATTATGTTTGACTTCATTTGGACCATATTCACACAAAATCAATGGAAAAATAACTGAACACACTTCACAACCTATTTAGGTTTAAAATGTCAAAAACTTTTCCTTTACAGATTTGCTTGAATGTTTTTACAGATTTGCAATGAYRCCATTTTGTACAGTTTGTTTACTTTCTGATTCAACTGCTTGACGTTTGTACTGTGTTTGTTGAATGTAATAATAGTTTCCATGATCTTTTAGTCCAGATTCTTAGCTTTCTATTGATACCAAACATGTCCAGGTTCAACTTGAGGATCTTAAGTTAAAAAAAGTTAAAAGAAATAGAAAACGGAAAAAACTGGTTYGCCCCCRGTACCAGGGGCATGGGGTTCAAGAGGTTAATGATCAAAACTGTTCAAACATTTTTTCTTGAASAGCACAAGGCAGCGTTGCCGTTTGCCCAGCCTATCATTACCTCAAACGTTATTTTTACGTTTCTCTGAGACGTCTGGCACTTCTTTAAAAGAAAAATCTTCTTAAGTGAGCAAATACAGATTCTAGAGAAAAAGTCGTGCATCATTTTCATCATTACAGTTCCGCTAAACCGCTAACAGTGGAGCTAGCTTCTCATCTCGTTAGTGGAACTAAGATTACCTTTTAGTGGATTAGAGGTTAGCCAAGCTATCATTTTGGCTAGCTGTGCCCACCACTGATCATTTTCTTTTGAGAGTTTGTTTCAAAAACATAACTGAAACATAAAAACTGCAGTTCGAACACAAAAATAACATTTTTTTAAAAGTTGCAGCCACATGCGCTCCCTTCCCTCCCCTGACAGCGTCCGCCCCCCTGTGACTCTAATGAAGGCAGAGTGYGTAGGCGAGCGCTTTACACCGTGCCTGGCTGCACAACGGTCGACACTCCTGCACGAGGACACGAAGGCCGACGGGGGTTTGGCACAATAACTGATTACACACAAGGACGGAGGCAGACTTCAGAGTCAGAGCCCYGAATGTGACTTCAGGTCAGCCCATCTGTCAGTCTCCAAACCTCCAGCCCAACATATCCTGTCGCGGACGCCCTCTTGCATGCAAATGTACACTTTTGCATCAGATTCTCACAAACATACACACACACACGTGCACAGGGATCATTAGCTTTGGCACTTTGCAGACTCGCAGTCATGATGGGGTTATTACGAAGACAGGGACCAGCACACTCAGCACGTCAACTCTCATTACCAATACAAGCTTGGTGTCTCGGCCTAGCTGTGTGTGTGTATGTGTGTGCGTGTGTGTGTGTGTTGAACCCACATCCAGCCAACTCACCCTCCTTTGATGAAGTCCAGAAAGGTGACTTCCACGTCCACGATGAACGACAGCAGCGTTACCTGCGAGCAAATTAGGCCAAAACTGCTTTTCACATTTTTGGTTAACAAGCCAAGGATGCAACAGGTTTTCTGCCTTACCGTCCCAGAGTTTTGGTAATTTTTCTTCTTCCCTTTCTTCTTTGGGTTTATCACCTAAGAACAGAAGGGTTTTGAGGGGGAGGGGATTAATTATTTGTTATTATGACACACCTATCACAAACACCAAATTGCCACCCTGCTGATTTGGTGCAATATTGAAGGAGCAGAAGTACTTTCTTTCCAGTATCCTCCAAACTCCTGCAGGTTTTATCACATCCTGCTGGTTTACAGACGTAGGCAGGCGCTGTACTTTTAAAGAAATTCAAATGAGTTRAAGTTCAGTGGTGTTCTCACTTTTTAAGAGGCTACTTGAAAACTGCTTCAGACAACTAAAGCCTCTGAGTCATGTTTAAAACTCACTGACCAGGTTGATTGGTACGACCTGCAGTTTTACTCTACATTGGTATTTTTGGACCACTTCAAATGGCGGAAACAGGTTGAAATGGGCAACTTTGTTTTATTATTTTTTATAGCAAGTGAATGTTTATACTTCCTGTAGAAAAGTGGTGTTTACTTACAGATGAAGTTCTTACTTTTATGCTTTCTTTGGCTCAGTTTGTTTGCTGTAGCCAAATAATAATAAAAAATTCTTTGCTAGATAGAGTTGTTTTTACCTTCAAAATTAATATAATAACAGTTTCAACTGTGAACAATTTTTCAGATATAGCAAGCTCAACTACACAGAGGTGGTTTGAAAATCCAATATAAAAAAATAAAACATTTCAAACAACCTCTGTATCATAGATGATTTGGTGACAGTTTTTTCTGTTTTGAAATGTTTGGTTCATTGTTCTTCTTCTAGGTTTCTTTGTACCACCAAAAACTACTCTAGTGGTCCTCAGTCCGGGTCCTCAAGGACAAATGTCCTGTAAGTTTTGGTTGTTTTCCCAAGTTTTCCAAGTTTTGTAATGTAAAGAAGTGTGTGCTTAAGAAGAGAAACATCTAAAACAAGCAGGATAGTGGCCCTCGAGGTGTATTGGCAAGAATTTGGTGATATGATACATGGATCACGATACGGTATATTGCAATACTGTAAGTAAAGTGATATATTGCCATTTTTCTCTGCTGATTAAAAAAAACTAATTGTTTTATGTATTTTATGTTTCATATTTCTTACTTCGTCCATTTTTTCAATGGTTAGACCAAATAGTTTTAGAATAGAATAGAATAGAATAGAATTCAACTTTATTGTCATTGCACCGTCACAAGTACAAGCAACGAAATGTAATTTGCATCTATCCAGAAGTGCTATACAGGGTATAATATATATTTACAGATGTGCAAAGGTTACTATAAAAAAATAAGATGTTCAGTATAAAAACAATACAATAAAATAAAAGAAATTATGGGCGCTGTGTGCACATAT